ACAATCACCTTCGCCTTTCCCTCGCCCCCTCAGCCCTCCTCATCTCACCGACTCGAACTCTGCATCTAGCCCTCATGCTCCTCCCCGAATTCTCCTCTGCTGCTGCCACTCCCCGACCTGTTGAGCGTGTCACCAAAAACAGCGAGCAGGAACGACATCGCCGCTCGTCGTTGCCCCCTCTCCAGTTGTCCTCTCCGCTCGTCGTCGCCTCCCCTCGTCCCCGAGGCAAGATCCCTTTCCCTCGTTAAATCTCGGACATATTATGAATTATATGACTATGATATGATTATTATTTGCGTGGGTCTGATTGATGAATAATAATAATATATGATAATAAATAAGATATTATTGCTGTACTATACTTGAGAAGTGATGAACATAAAATGACAAGTCTATATATGAAGAGTGGATATTTTGAAAGCTAGACAAAATTATGAAAGGTTATTGAAAAAGAAAAATAGAAAATAGCTTATGGAAAATGATTACTGTTCATATAGAAAAGAAAAAGGAAGAGAATATTTTTAAAGAGTATTTTTGAAATAATTACTTCGAGAAATAATTTTAAAGGAGAGTGTTTTACAAAGGATTATTTTGAATTATTAAGAAATAATTTTTAAAAGAATTTATTTCGATATTAGAATTATTTTTAGATGATTGTGCTAATTTAAAAAGAATTTATTTTGAGAATGGGATCATTTTAGATAATTATATAATTTAAAAGAATTATCTTGGAAAAGAATCGTTTTAGAATAATTATGAATAAGTTAAAGGAATTTATTTCAAAAAGGGAATTATTTTAGATTAATTATGATTAGAAAAGAAATTATTTTGTAAGAGGGAATATTAAAAAGAATATTTAAAGAATGTTTTTAGAATTATTTAAAAGGAGTTATTTTGGAAAATAGAATTATTTTTGGATAATTATAACAAGAAATAAAGAATTTTATTTTGGATAAAGAAATCATTTTGAAGAAAATAAATTTATTATTTTAAAAGATTATTTTTTTTGAAAAGCTTCGTGATTTGTGTTTCTCATTTTAATTATGTGATATGCTATGATACCGTTGCACATGTTTGGTTGTATTTATTATTATCTTTTTGTGATGTTGAACCATTAGTAGTTCATGACTTAGTGACTTTGCGCGTCATGAACAAGACTTAGTGACATGTTCGTGTGCGTTGACTAAATTAGGAGGTGGACCAGAGATCAACTGTAGATCATCTGTATGTTGACTTAGCAAAATAAGAAGAGTTGGGATGGGGAAGTCCATGTTCATGTGATCGGATATAGCTGTTGATGTATCTTCTAGGCTCGCCCCATGATCCAGTGTAGTTTAGGGTTAGTTTGTTGGGTCAAAGTAAAGCCAGTGTAGTCACTTTGGTCCGTGAATTTGATATTCACTCGAGTTTAGCTTGAGTTCGAACCAGGTTGAAATTGGATTGCGTGTAGCCCTCTGACCGATCCAGTGTAGCGGCATGTTAGGTGCACGTAGGGGATTTGTGAGTAGTCAGTTATCCGATGATATGAGCGTTGGCTCTATGTGAGATGTCGACCAGTGAGCTTTAGGATGGCTAGTATTCGACCCGGCTATCGTATGCAGTTAACTTTATGTATATCATGTTTTAGTAGTGAATTTGCATGTTAAATTTTTTTGGATTTCTAGCTGCACGTTTCTTTGTTATTTCTGTTGTATCATTTTCACATCGGGTTTTCGTTCGTTCTTTCCTTTTGTGGGATCTTGCTGTGTGCCATGCACGCTGACGTACACATATTTCCTCTGGTGTACGTCAGATTTAGAGGACGGACAGGTCCAAGATGAAGATGCATTGAAGACGGAGTAGCATAAGAAGCCGAAGCCTAGTCATTTTATTCGCTGTTGATCCTTAGTTTACTTTTGTAGTACTTTCCATTTCAGTCTGATTGATATATATTATATTTTCTAGTATTTCAATCAAATCGTTTTGTATCAGGGCATGTTGACCCGAATATTATGCCTGGGATGATATTTCAGTTGTGATATGTATAATTTTTTATTCTGAGTTTTTTATTATATTCTTGCTGACTGTGATCGGGGACATGTGTCTTACATTGTATTTATTTCCAGACGCTTAACTTATTAGGTTGAGGAGAAATGATTATTTTATTTATTCTCCTTAATCTAATACGTCGCGGGCTTGCTCGCGTCTCGATCCCCTGGTATTTTGGGAAGCGGGGCATGACAGGTTTTTCTGGTGGCCCATGCAGGTCATGGTCCCGAGTCACGGTCCCAAGTTCCCTCCTATGAGAATATAATAGATGATTTAGACGCATATCACTGTTTCATCCATGAGACTATTCTTCCGCTAACGATCTTGATTCTCGCATTTCCTTCAGAACTATGGTGGGTACACAGAGTAATGGTAACCCATCCAGTAGCAGTGGTCAGATGCCTGAAGTAGATCCGCAGCAACTTTTGGCAATGATTCAGGGGCTGGTGACAAACCAGCAGTTCTTAGCTGGGCATTTGCAGCAGGGGCCTCAGCACCGCATCCCCCTCACTCAGAGCCTGGTGTTAGAGAGTTCCGGTATATGCGACCTCCTTCTTTCTCCGGTGCCGAAGGACCTCTAGCAACAGAAGAGTTCCTGAAGGTTACCGAGACTATCCTTACGGTGACCTACATTGCCCCTACAGAGTGGGTGGACCTTATGGATATCCAGCTCATGGATATGGCTCGAATCTGGTAGGCTGCTGAGAAGACACACCTGGAGAGGCCGATTCTGTGGGAGACGTTCACGGATTGCTTCAATAGGAAGTATTTTCCTCAGTCAGCCCGGGATGAGCTTTTCCATAGATTTGTCGAGCTCAAGCAAGGAGGTCGATCAGTCGATGATTATGAGGTCGAGTTCTCTTCCCTCAGTCGATATGCTCCCCACTTGGTTATAGACCCCACTATTAGGAGACATCAGAAGGGTCTGGACAAGTACATCAGATTGGCTCTGGCTGGTAGGTCCCTCGCGACTCATGACGCTATGCTGGATGCAGCACGTGAGATCGAGAGTGTTCAAAAGGAGCCAGAAGATCCACATGTGATTCAGAGCATAGCACCAGCAGCTCCAGCCCGGAATGTCGAGCGTCCTCCTCCAAGGCAGCAGCAGGTTCCGTAAAGGCGGTAGTTTTCCCAGCGACAGCTACTTCCTCAGGGTGACCCTATCAGCGTCCTGGAGTGCAGACTCGCGTCCAGCCTTTGGTGAAGTGTACCTATTGTGGCCACACTGGGCATACCCAGCAGGAGTGCCGCAGGAGTCTTCGTCTGTGCTACGCCTGTGGATCCCCCGATCATGTCAGTTGGGAATGTCCACAACGGCAGCAGGCCAGCTTGCCTCCACCTCCAGTTAGGGCAGCTCTTCAAGCTCCACCTCGACCTGCTTTAGTAGCACCGGCTCAGCACGGACCCTATCCTCGAGCAGGGCCTCTTTCTCCATAGAAGCAGGTTTATCAGCAGGCACAGAGGCAGCAACCACCTCGTTAGACATTCATGATGTCAGCTGTGGAAGCTGAGGCGAATGACCAGGTTATCACTGGTAAGAACTGTTCGTTCTTAGTTTTACTTGCATATGAATTCTCCTTATTTAGCATTACCTGATGATATCATGATAGGATTTGTTTATGAGTGCTAAGTTTAGTTGCATTTACCTCCTCCTGTAATAGGCAATGTTCTTGTTTCTTCCGTTCCTACTTTGTCACTTTTTGACTCTGGAGCTTCCCATTGTTTCTTGTCTCGTCGATTTGCGAGTACCCACTCACTTCCTATAACTCCTCTGACTACGGGCTGGAATATCAACATTGGTAGTGGTGTCTTAGTAGCATCAAGTGGTTATGAAGCATGTCCGGTGGTCATCTGCGAAAGAGAACTCTTTGCAGATTTTCTGGTGATTGATTTGCCGAGCTTTGATGCAGTATTTGGAATGGATTGGTTGGGGTAATTCTTTGTCACCATCGATTATCGCCGTAGAAATGTGGTATTTGAGATACCGGATCACCCGAGGTTTGAATTCCTCAATGGTAGTATCTCGGCTGGACCTGTGAAGCATAGAGCTAGACCGAAAAAGGCGA